GTATTTTGGAGAGGTGAGGTGTCCAAGTCGCAACATCTAGCTACTGGTGTGCCTCAGGGCTCAGTACTTGGACCACTTCTCTTCTCTGTCTACATGGCATCACTAGGTTCTGTCATTCAGAACATGCCTTTTCATATCACTGCTATGCTGATGACACTCAACTCTACCTCTCATACCATCCTGATGATCCGACGATAGCTGCTCGCATCTCAGCATGTCTAACAAACATTTCTTGCTGGATGAAGGACCATCACCTTCAACTCAACCATGCCAAGACAGAAATGCTTGTGGTTTCAGCCAACACAACACTTCACATTTTCTTCCATCTAGCTAGGTGCATCAACCATAACTCCTTCAAGGACAGCCAGGAACCTTGGAGTTATCATTGATGATCAGCTGAATTTCACAGAGTCATAGTCCATTAACCTTTATTTATATAGCGCTTTTAACAATACAGATTGTGTCAAAGCAGCATTACAGTATTAAATGGGAAAATAGTGTGTAACAATGCAAAAGGACAACAGTAAACACAATTTTAACCATTTTCAGTTAAAGTCAGTTCATTATTGATTCAGTGATGTCATCATCCAGCTCAGTTCAGTTCAAATAGTATCTGTGCAATCAAGTTGACGATATCGCTGGCAATTAAGTGTCCCCAACTAAGCAAGCCAGAGGCAACAGTGGCAAGGAAAATCGGTGAAAGAAATGGAGAAAAAAACCTTGGGAGAAACCAGGCTCAGTCGGGGGCCAGTTCTCCTCTGGCCAGACGAAACCAGCAGTTTATTTTCAGGCTGCAGCAAAGTCAGACTGTGCAGAGGAGCCACATTGTTAGAACTGCCTGGTCCTGCAGATTTCCCTTATACAACATTAGGAAGATCAGGCCCTTTCTTTCGGAACATGCTACAAAACTCCTTGGTCAACTTCTTGTTCTGTCCAGACTGGACTAATTGCAACGCTCTCTTGGCAGGACTTTCAGCCAAACCTCTACAACTAATCCAGAATGTGGCAGATTAGTCTTTAATGAGCCGAAAAGAACGCACGTCATAACTCTGTTCATCAATTTGCACTGGCTACCAATAGCTGCTCGCATAAAATTCAAGGAATTGATGTTTGCCTATAAAAACCACCACTGGCTCTGCTCCCCTTTAACTGAATTCACTACTTCAGACTTATGTGCCCTATAGAAGCTTGCGTTCTGCAAGTGAATGGCGCATTATAGTGCCATCCCAACGAGGCACAAAATCCCTTTCACAGACTTTTACATTAACTGTTCCCTCCTGGTTGAATGCTCAGCCCAACTCAGTCCGAGCAGCTGAGTCTTAAACCATCTTCAAGAAATGGCAAAAACACATCTCTTCCATCTTTCATCTAGAGTTAGACCCTCTAACTCTAGCACTCTCTATTCTAATTCTATTTTATCTATTTGTTTTCTATGTATTAATTATAAAAAAAATACTAACTTTGACCCTCTAACACTAGCTCTTGCCATTCTATTTCTTTTCTATATACTTTTTATTCTTTTTATTTATTATATAAAAAAAATATTGCTATGTGTACTGCATTAGACTAACCGGGACTTGTCACAGCACTTATATATCGCTGCTCTTTAGTTGGTTTGATTGCTTCTATTGTCCTCATTTGTAACTCACTTTGGATAAAAGCATCTGCTAAATGATTAAATGTAAAAGTAATGTAAATGATTTTAACATTATACTCACATTTACACATGTCACAAGGCCCTGGAGGAAGCGCTCTAGCTCTTTAGCAAAGCTCTTGTCTGTGGTGAACAGTTTCACCAGCTCTCTGCAATAATACACAGACAGATGAGTTACAAACATGAGCCTAGAGAAGCATCACATTAGGGATGGGCGATACCACATTTTATTTCCCATACAATACTGATACTTTCAAAGGCAAGTAACATTGATATCGATAAAAAAATGTTTACCAGCCAAGAATCTGTATGTGCATCATTTCATTAAAAACATTGGGGAAACTTATATAATTGCAATTATTATTATAAAAAAAAAAAAAAAGATATTTTTTGTGATAATTATAAACATTTAAATTAAACATATTCCTATAATACTACTATACTGCAATGTATTTCATAATAACAATTTAATTTAATGAGAATAATAACAATTATTATTAGTATTATTATTTTATACAACAGTACAATTACAATACTAATATTTATGGTTGTTTTTTCTATGCTTTCAAGCGTTAAACCATAGAACGATTATTTTGGCATAAAACTGCAGGAAAACTTTCAACTTTCAGACTTAACATTTAACAGGGCTTAACTGCAAATTATTAATTATGTTTTTGTTTACACGTGGTTAAAATATGGTTACTGTACTGTTAGTCATGGTAAGTTTTACAACACATAACAGTTGAACTATGTTTACTGTGGTAAAACATTTTTTTATTCTGACAGTGAATGATAATTTAACTTTTAAAAATTACTTTAAATGCAAATAAACTGAAATTGTACATAGTTTGAGCAATATTTAATAAAATAATCTAATGTAATCTAATCTAATCACAATTGTAAACCAATTTTACATTTTAAATGCAACAAACCCAAAAATATTTAGATGGTTTAAAAAAAAAAAAAAAAAGGCAAAATAACCCAATCTAATGGATCCATATTATGTGTTCAGTACTGTTTGAAGTACATTTCTTGTTAAACTAAATCTCTGGTTAAAACAAAACACACTTTAGGATTTTATTTGAGTATCAATACTTTCGGTATCGATGATACTTCAGTATGGATCCACCCATCCCTACAGTGCATTTGCTGAATCTCATTGGCAGATGCTGTACCTGCAGATGTCCAGTTTGGCCGAGAGGTGATCTTTATGGATGTACAGCTCTTTTTTGTCTTTTAGGAGACATATAATATCCTCGCTCTCAAAAATCGGGTTCTCATCCGGCACCTCAAGCCGATAGTGAATATACAGCTTCCCAACCTGCCAAAAAAAAACCCCACAAACTTTTCTGGTTTCCTCCCCTGTGAAAGAACATGATGCAACAGCCTGTAATTTGTTGGGTTTGCATTCTGGAGAAAGTGCCTCCAGCGTACCTGTCCAAAACTCAGCGAGCGAATGTATTTAGCAATCCCACTCTCCTTCAGCTCACTGTACACGTCATCGAAATCAGTGTTGTGGAAGATGAACCTCTGGATGTATGGGACGAGCTGCCGCACCAGGGTCTGCACCGCAGGGCAAGGCCTGTAGCTCTCGGTCTGCGCTTCGGTGGTCACGCGCTGGGAGAGCCGCTCCACCCCGCAGATCTCCAGGAATAACTCACGGTCGCGCTCGCTGAACGCCTCCTTCTCCTGCTTGCCTGAGGACAACAGAGCCAAGAAATTGAGCTGGAAATGGCCCAGATCGTTCATTACGGAGTTAAAAATAAGCATGCATGTCGCATATGATGTCAGTGTTTCCCCATCATAACTACACATCTGTAGGTCCCACATTCAAAGCCCAGCGGGCCAATGCATAAAATAGAGAAGTTTCCATTAGGGGTGTAACATTTACATCTATTCATTTAGCAAACGCTTTTATCCAAAGCGACTTATGATTGAAACATGCAACAAATAATAATAAAAATGTAAAAAAAA